CCCATTATTTAGTGCAGTATTACAAATTAAATGTGAGTACAAAGTGTGAACATAAAGAGCAGCAAAAAATTATAGTTGCATTTCATAATCTACTTACTCTATAATTATAAATGTATAATCATAATAAACAATTAAATTTATCGACGATTTGTGGAGACGAACGTATGGAATTATACAGAGGACAGCGTTTGATGTCCTCATAAAACTTCTTATACAAAAAGAGAAATTGAATAATGTCAAGGAACAAATGAGAAAATGATACTACGACAGAAGAGAGAATTAATTCAATTTGCTTTAAATTGACAAATAGAAAAACACCCCCAATTAAGACAAAGAAAGAAAAATTGATTAGAGAAGAGTAATAATAGTGAATATGAAGAGAAAAGAAAAGGAAGAAATGTGCCAACAAGATGCCAGGCAAATCGAGAAAAAAGTATTTCAACTAGAAGAAAATGTTGTTAGTAACATAAGTAAACATAAGAATGCGAGGAAGACAGTAGAATTAGACTAATGAACTAATGAAATTTGTACATTTGTTAATACTAAAAATTTCAGTCACACTCTACAGTTTTATTGTTTATAAAACATCATTCAGTAACCAAGGCATTATTAATACAATTTTCTGTCTATTAAAGAGACTGTTGATAAGTTGTTGTTAATAACGCTACTCTTGTTGCTAATGGTGTTATTGTTGTTACCAATGACTCTACTCTTGTTGTTAATGACGCTGAACAAATTGTTGTTGTTAATGACTTAATGATACTAATGACGCTGCACTTGTTGCTAACAATGCTACTTTTGTTATTAATGACGCTACTTTTTTTTTTGATTCGAAATGGTTCAATCTTTATTGAAATATTTCGACAGTAGTTGATAGACCGCATAGACGGAAAATGCAGAGAGGGTATCGAACGTATAGATTCGTACCATTATTTCTCCGGTTCATTTCCTGCTGAGAGGCGATCGGATCTGCATGAAATCCCGGAAATCGGACTCCGTTCCACAAGTGAATTGATCCTCTTCGTCCTCCTGCTACGACGACTCGTTCGGTCGACTTCGGTCGAAAAAGGAAGGAAGGAAATTAAACGCAATTTCGAGTTTAAATTTCGCTCTCAATTTGATTCTCAAAATCAAAAATTTAACATCATTTTTCTTTCAACTGTAAAATGAAAAAAATCTTAAAATAAAACATAGTAAGATTAAGATAAAAAAAAGTAGTTATAACAATAATGAAAATAATATGTTATTTTTTACGATAATAAAAATGCATAAAGTAAAATCACTTCCTGGTAATTAATACTAAAACGCCTGTTTGTTATTAGGATTACGATTTTAATTTAAACTGAAAATGGTGTTTCGAAGCGCTCGAAAGCTGAAGGATAATCCTGTTGTTCTTTCGATTTTGCTGTTTCATTTTATAATACATACACAATTTCATTATTTTAAAAGAAAATTACGTGAAAACTGCAAAAGATACAAAAAAAAAATATCTTAAGATAATTTTATCCTTAAAGTTTTAATTTGTATATTTATGTACAGATTCTTAGTATTAGTTATGTAGTGCATATAATAGCTTTCGAGAAATATTATAATTCATTAAATTTAATATTCTTTTAATTTTATATAGTTTTAGCTTTAATTTGCACATTTGTATGTTATTTAATTCTTAGTAATATTTAAGTAGCGCAATAAAATGTAAAGTGAGAAACTTTGATAATTATTACATCAATTTCGAAACGTTATAATTCCAAAACTACAAATGCTACAAATTCAAGTTTACACTCATTTTATACCCTCTAATGTGTTATTGTGTACATAGTTTGAAAGATATACACGTAAACTTAAACTATTTTTTTCTTTGTTAATGCTACAAAATTTCATCAATTTTGAAAGCGTTTAATTCACAAACTACGAACACTAGAAACATAATTTTACACTCATTTTGTTCCCTACAATTCTAGCTTTAATATTTATGCATCATTCATAAATTGACCCTTTCACCTCCTCCCCCCGTGCGCCTCATCGATTATGCTCTCTGGTCTTACGATTCTGGTCTCGTCTTGTTCATATAACTTCTGCATGATTAGGTTCATGAATTTTGCCCAACGAAGGGATTCTAATTGCAATTGACTGCTCTTTAATGCAAAATCCCGCATTTCGTGCAGATCGCACTTCCCCTACCGGAAGCTATTACACACTTCGATAGAAATTTGTAAAAAAAAAAATAGTTTTTCTACAAATTTTTTCATTTCATTCTTTAATTTTTTTCTATAAAGTGAAATAGTAAATGAGTTTCTGTCTTCAATTGTGCAATTATTTAACTCTCTTCTTCGCAAGTTCGCTTCCTTTACGAAACCGCCAAAAGTTGAACTAACTTCTTTTCGCAATTAAATTCTCTTCCACTTCAATAATTGTTTTTCTCTCTTTTTTTTTTAGGTGCAACCGATAACACACATCCTGCACGGCCTCCATCAGCAGCAGCAGCAGCAGCAATCCTCGAGCAGGGAGAACCTCCATCAAACTTTCCTGCAGGTCAGTGTTCACAATTTTTATTTATTTATTTCGCGTCTTCATTTCTAAACGAAGAGTTCAATCGATGGATGTTTCGTTGAGCTGTAAATGGTTGTAGATGGCGCCACGTGTCGAGTCCTGCAGGATTCGCGCCATCGTTGCCGTTCGAAAGTTCGTCGCTGGATTCATAGATGGCGATACTTGTATATACCCAGAAATTATTTTTTCTTATGGGTTTCCATTCTTTGAAATTAATTATTACTTGAAAGGCACACATTCTCATGCAATAATTATTAATTGTTTGTGATTAATGAAATATGATGGGCGAGCGAAGCGAGTCCTGAAAGGCGACTGTAGTCATGAAGAGTAGCTACGAATACAAAAATTTAAACCTTTTTCAGGACTCGCCCAACAGAAGAAATGGTAATGTATTCATTTATTGTTTAAGAAAAGTTGATGGGCGAGCGGAGCGAGTCCTGAAAGGCAACTGTTTCCATTGTCATTATCTAACTAAATGTTTGTAAGGCACAGATTCTTACTTTGTTAGCAAGGTGATATACACATTATAATTACCCTTTTTGTATAATCAAAAAGTTACTTTATACATTAACGAGTTTGATAATTATTTAGTGTTGGTAATATTGGGTTGGGGCGGAATACGCCACTTTAGCTACTGGGGCAGTTACTTTAGCTACCAAAGGATTGGGACAGCGGTGTACTCAATGGTCCTCTTGAAGCCGTCAGCATCAACGAGACATTCCTCAGCAACCTTGGTTACTACTGGGTCTTAGCAACTAAAGGGGCGGAGTAAGTGGTAATTGGGGCGGAGTAAGTGGTAATTGGGGCGGAGTAAGTGATAATTAGGGCGGAATAGACCAAAGGGGCGGGAACGGCGCTGGCTGCTTCCAAAAGAGCGGCGAAAGCCACGAACTACAGGAGCAAAGCGTACGCGATTAATTGGTTGGATCTCGATTAGCAGCAGCAGCAATTTACCTTGAATGCCATTGTCGCTCCGTTTGATGATGGTTCCAGAGGATTGATAGTGCAGAGCTGCTGCGTCTCTTGTCCGATCGATAACTGATGCCCGCATTCATCCGAGCCGAACGTATTTGTACGCCTCTGCTCCACATTCGCTCGTTCCTGCGTTGCATAATCTGCACCCGTTTTACTGTCAACAAAGTCGACAAACTCGATTCACACATCCATTTATTTATTCTACATTTATCAATTATACAACGACAGTCGCTTTCTTCCGCCGACTGAAAATTTGGATCGACATCAAAGTCTCAAACGTTCTCGTTGCATCATCAAGTTAATTACTTTAATAATGCTCTTACCTTTCGATTTCTGCACGAAACACTTCAATGTGATATAACATAATTAAGTTTCAAAACCATTAAAGATCGATTTCAATATCGATTATAAAATTTATAACTTGTACAGTGGAACCTCTCTTAACGAGTTTAATTCGTACCAAAATTTCCTGATTTTTAGTGAAACATATTCAAAATTACAATAATATGTGTACACAATTCGGGGCTTCTCTTCTCATCATCACTCGTTATGCGAAACGTCGCTCGTTTTTCTTACAATTAATTTTGCTCGTTATGCGAGGTTCCACTGTAACATAACACGTCATCTAATTCTTCCATTTCCCTAGTCTTCTTAACTTTCCTTGTGTTACTAATAACTTATTCTTCTGTTTGAAATAAATTAATCTCTATTTATCTAGTCTCCTCTTCCGTTATTTTATCTTTCTCTTCGTTTTATTATCCATTTCTCCTCTTTCTTATTGGCACACGTTCTCTTTGTTCTATCCTCATATTCGCGATTTGTATATATAACTTTTTCTTTTCATTTGGAAGATTTCGACTTTGTACATACTCTGATATATGTTCTTTGATTGAACTAATGTGTTTGTCGTTATTTATCTTGTATATAGAATTATTTGACTACTGTTACCGTAAAATCGAGGAAAGTTTAAAAACAACTTTCATCGTTTTCAGGTCTCGAATCGCTTCATAAAGTATATATTTGATTAGGGTCTATATCGCAAGCCCGACAACCGAAAGACCGTCTATTGAAATCCCGACTGTATCGAAATCCCAACTATATCAAAATCTCGACTAAATCAAAATCCCGACAACCATAAAAATGTTATTGTAGAAATATTTAATAATAAAAGACACTGTCGGGATTTCGATATAGTCGGGATTTTAATTATATAGTAGATTATGATGGGCGAGTGAAGCGAGTCCTGAAAGACAACTATAAACTTTTTGCAACTCCTTGCTGTTCTTTAGATTCACACATTGCATTCACATGTAAATACAATAATATAAATATAAACTGAAAATAAAAACTCCTGAAATATGAGAAAGAAAAAATGTAGCAAAAGTAGGTAAAAGAAAACTGCAAAACTGAAACATGTTTGGGTAAAAATATGGAAGAAATTGATGTTTAGGTTTTATAATGTTTAATTTGTGTTTCTTAAAAAATAAATAATAATGAAGTTGATTTAGATTTAGTGATGGTAGTATTGGGCTGGGGCAGCGGCGTAACCGACTGGGGCGGCGATCTTAGCTACCGGGGCAGCGTAAGCTACTGGAGAAGCAGCGTAAGCTACTGGGGCAGCGGCGTAAGCTACTTTGGCTACTGGGGCGGCGGCGTAGTGGACTGGGGTAGCTACTTTAGCAACAACTGGGGCAGCTACTTTGACGCCCAAAGGTTCACGGTGGACTACAGCGTTGAATCCGTGGATTGGGTCAGCGGTGTATTCTACAGTCCTCTTGAA